CTGGAGGAGAAGATCGAGAATCAGGACCGTCTTTTCAAAGAGCTAAAGGCCAACTACGAAGTGTCCCAGCGATTGGGCCAGGACGAACAAGACAGTGCCGCCCAGAAAGCCGCTTCAGCAGAACTACAGCTGGTTGTTTCGGACCTTGAAAAGACCAGCACTAGACTCGCAGAAATGGAAGCAAGGAACGAGCAGCTTCGAGTTGAGCTGGCACAAGTGACTTCACAGTCGGCGAAACCCTCTGAAGACGATCCTCAGGTTTTGCGACTGCAGTCAGAGAACTCAAGCCTTCTTCGAAGGCTAGAATCCATTCGTTTGGAACGTGATGGCGACAAGCGAAAGACCGAAGAGCAAGTGCGCCAACTCGAGAGACAGCGGAAGTCGGCCGTCGAGGAGAGTCAGGATCTCCGAAGTAAGCTACAGAGATGCTCCGATTACGACGAGATCAAGCGAGAACTCGAGATGCTTAAATCGATCGAATTGTCAGTCGAGGATGATGCTGACGAGGATGAAAATACTGCCAATGGCACAGTCGAAGGGGGCAAGAAGAACTCGCTTGAACAGCTGCTCTTAGCTCGCAACAAAAAGTTGAGCGATGATCTCACCATGTTGCGTGTCGAACATAAAGAGATTGTCCAGCATTTAGATGGCCTTAAGGCTCAATTAACACAGAGCAACAGAGATCTGGAAGAGTCTCAAAAGCTGTCTGTAAGGTTGGAGAATGATCTAGTACAACTGCAAGAAGAGGCTGCAAGTGGTTTGCCTTCTTCCGGTATGTCAGTGGCAGGCACATACACCTCAAGATACCCACGTTCCTCTCGACGAGGCAGATCCTCGCCCACTTCTTCAATCATTTCTGGCTTTGATGGCCACAATCGTGCCTCCGACGAGCCTCTCGGAGGTGGGTCAGGCATACTCCCAATGGTCCAGGCGCAACGAGATCGTTTCAAACAGAAGACCCAGCAACTTGAGGAGGAACTACAGAAAACTTACGTGACCGTCACTTCTTTACGCCAAGAAGTGGCTTCCTTACAAAAGGATAACCTGAACCTCTACGAAAAGAGTCGATACGTCTCGGCATACAGCCGAGGCGGTGCATCATCTTCATCGTTTGGTCAAGGCTCATCACATACATCTATCAACACAGCAGAAGATGCTTCGGATGACAGGTGGAAATCACAGTATGAAGCCAACATATCGCCTTTTGCCGCCTTTCGAGGCCGCGAAGCGGCCAGAGCTTATAAGCGCATGAACATGCCTGAGCGAATGGTCTTTTCCCTGACCAGAATCGTCCTAGCTACAAGGACAAGTCGAAACTTGTTTGCCGGCTATTGCATGGCTCTGCACCTTTTAGTCTTTTTCATGCTGTATTGGATGTCTGCCGCAGGCGCAACTTCCGATCATCTGGACAGAGCAGCAACGGCCGCTGTTGTGGCCGGTGCCGTAGGTGGAAAGGACTCGTCACCTCATGCAGGCGACTAGCAGCAAGAAAGTTTCGGATAAGATGCTCCTTCTCATTCTGGCACTTACTTGTCAGGCCTGTTGCATCATTTACACAAGGAGTCGCGTTTTGTAGTATGGCAATCACCCTGCACAGCCGGGCAGGCAAAGCTTGGGTTACCAGACAGCTGATGCCATGCATCCTGCTGGAAGGCTGCCAGCTTCGGGACGGGTTCGATGGTCAGATTCTCACATGCACGCATCTCCGCACTTGTCACGCCACGGGGTGGATGCATACTGGATTTTGAGTTGTACGATTGTGTGTGTCAAAACAGTCACTCTGGACATTGGAGGAACGCCTCAATTTCATTTGACAGACGTGACTTTTAATTCTCCGAGACGCATGCAAGTCATTGCGCAATTCATTGAAACAGAGTCGACCCTATCACAGAGCAAGAAAGACTCGGTAAATCGTGCTTTCAACCGGTGCAGTACATCCGCAGAACGGATAGCAAGCCACATTGGCCGGGATGCTGACTCTGGCCAAGATTGCTACGCTACATAGGTTAACCTGAGACGTACAAAGACCTTGGCTGGGCGTCTACAGTAAATCGCCAAGCGAGTTGCGATCCGACGTCTGCAGTACGTATGCTTACTGGCCCATTGGCGACTTTAGCACGATGATTGGACAGCGGCTATCTCGAGTCGTGGCAGACCACCAACTGACAATTATTGAAATGTGGAGGAAGCCAGAGAAACTGGCTCTTCTGCTAAATAAACCAACCCAATTATGGTAAGATGTCAGCGGTTGCGGCAGCGCAGATCCCGGCTTCTAGCCACCCGCAATCTCCACCAATGGTATATTTGTCCTACCCAGAATAGTAACACCTGCTTGGCCACCAACCGGCCATCTTCCTGTGAGCCTCTATCCACCTTTTTCATGACCACGACTAACTGCCAAGTGAGTGCGGCGCCTACATATCGTGGTGTTCTATACTTGCATCTTTAGACTGCAGGGAAGCGGTGGCAGGCATATCCTAACGCGAACAATTAATATATGATCTATCTGCATGGTTGGGAACTTGTCTTCCACACCTACATCTTCCATCTCCAAACCAAACACCAACCTGCCATCTAACATCTCCTCTATTAACGAATTTTCTTAATTTGCATTGAATTCTTTGTTACTGCTAGTCGGTACTGTTCAGCATATACATACACTAATACCACGCCAACGTCGCATCATCGAAAGTCTTTGCATAGCATTGCTGTTTCTTGCATCTACACAACATTGCAATACCTTGCTTCGAAACATAGAATTTGAGACAAGACCTGATTGACGGCCAACACCCAAACCACAAACCAACACAATCATGTACGGAATTATAATAGTCGCAACCTACCTCACCACAGCGCTGGCCGCTCCCACCCTCTCCTGGTCACCTGCCCTTGGCGAGTTCTATGCCGCTGTGGACAGACATATCCAAGTCGCCCGCCAAGAAGGCACCGTCAACCCCCCAACATGCGACCTCAGCAAAGCAGTTCAACCAGTAGCTCCCACGCCGCTGCCAGCACCAGATGCGAGCTGGAAGTTGTCTGAGGTCATCATTGGCCGTGGAGTTCAGGTAAGCCTCATATGACCACTATCTACAAGCACGATACTAACAGTTTTCAGAATTACACATGCGCTTCCGCCTCAAAAAATGTCAAGCCAGTTGCAGTTGGTGCCATTGCCTCTCTCTACAACGTCTCTTGCATAGCCGCCAACTACCCCGACATCCTCTCCATGCTCCCAGCTCTAGCTCTGCAATACTCTCTCCCTGCAAACCCGGCCGCCAACCTCGAGCCTAGCAATCTCGAACTCGTGGGCCACCACTACTTCACCGCCAACGGCACGCCAACATTCGACCTCACGACTGTCCCCGAGCCAAAGAATCAAGACTTCGGCGTCGCAGCACTCAAGAAGAACAGCAACTCCACGGCCCCGATCGATGCGCCAAAGGGCGAGAACGGAGTCGGTGATGGTTCAGTTGCTTGGCTAAAGTTGGACGCGACCTTCGGCTCGACTGGTGATATCAAGGCTGTCTACAGAATAAACACTGCCGGTGGAAACCCACCGACTACATGCGAGTCGTCGCCAGCTTATTTCTCCGTGCAGTATGCATCTGAATATTGGTTCTACGCGCAATCTGGATCATCATGAAGAGGAAGTGGATACGGACATGATGATCTGGAAGGTGGCAGATCGAGCATACAGCAGAGCACAGCACAGCACAGTATGGCATGACGAATGGGACGTCAAGCACAAAGGAGCATTCTAATTCTTGGTAGCATAGTTTTCAACCAACTAGTTAGGTAGACATAATCTACGAATGAAGTACATCTCACCAAAATTAAACGAGCCATGCATGATCGACCGTGCATAATGCAAGCCGTTTTACCGGTCGCTTAATCATTGGTTTTGGACATTGGCTTGGATGAAACGCGTAGTGTAGCGAGTTGGACCAGGGTTCGGATACAGTCCAATCATGTTCTAATAGACATGGAAGAAGCTATATATGCAGCTCTTGCATTTATTGCCTGGTGCTTGCGAATGTGGCTACAGACTATAGGATGATAAAAAATTTTCAGCACGGTGCATGCCTACTTGGTATGCATTATTGATTTTCCTGACACTGGTCGACAAGATCGTGCTGACTGGAGTCTTCCAAGCTTAGCACTGTCTACACTATTCGTGCAGTTCTTCCGAGATGGGAAGCTGAATGAAAAGGCTTGTGTCAGCTCTTTCCTTGATCATCCATTCTGCACCATTCAACAAGATTCCTCTCGTATCGGACACGAAGAAGTACTGGTCTAGATGCTGATCTGTCGATGCCCAGAACTTCTACGCCGACTGTTTGACGTGATTGCCCTGCCGAAACGAGGAATACATTGCGGTGCGGTATCTGCATGGTCTGTTCGATTCGTCGTTATTGAAGTGGCTTAACCTTCGTGCCAACCATCCTCCAAGACCTGGCCAAGAGGGCATCTGCTGTTGTGTATAGTCTCAGATGATGTGCGAAAGGGTAGCGCATGATCAATCCGGTTGATGGCGGCTGAGTACTTTGACTATACAAGCAGGGTCGAATGTTAATGACCCGAAGGTTGGCCATTTCCTGTTAGCACTAGCAACCGAACGATGAGCGGAGAGCCCGAGGTGGTACATTTAAGATATCTAGTCTGCTGGCAAGTGGGAGTAACTCAACACACTTCACGGCCGTCTCGCAATGGTGTCGAATTGAAGGCGTAGCCTTCCAAGTAGCTGGACCCGTCAAACGCCAGGCCCACTAGAGAACTGACTGAGGCAGAATCTCTTTGGGACTTGACACCTTCATGCTTGAACCAGTTTCGCTCGAGCAACTTGCAAAAAGAAGTAGAAAGATTAAAGATATCATAAACACCTGGTTGGTCAGTGCTAGCTCAGCTGTGTCTTTCGTTATGCATTGGTCTTCTGTATGGAAGAGCGTTACGACCACCAAAAAAGAAATGAGTTGTTGAAACCCTAAATATGATGAATCAATTGCCTCCATCCAGAATTGAACTGGAGATCTTCGCATTGACGGCTTGAAGCAGAGTGAATCTGCTAGTGGTACAAGTGCGACGCGTTACCACTGCGCCATAGAGGCTGATTTGTGCCTCTTGGAAGGACATTTTTGGGCAATTTTCCGGCCTTTTGATTTATGTAAATAATGTTGAATATTGTCCTTGTAGAATGTTTTCGCAAATTTCTTGTTTTCTACTTTTAAACCTTTACTCAATATTCTGCAAGCGATGCTTTTTTGTATAGAAAGCTTTTATAATCTAGCCATAGGAGGTTTGTGAGAGCTGAGCAGTGAATGGCCGACATGATCCAGCGCCATAACGATTAGGGTTAAGGGTGATAACCCTTGGTGACGTATGAGGTTGGTCCTGTCTTGTACAAGACCTGTTTTGGGCAGCCAGGAATACGACAACCACGATCAACCAGAAGTTGGAAGCGAGATAACGGAAAGCGTGGCACATCTTCTGTTCCTTTCTCGAGTCAATGCCTTCAAAACTGGGAGGAGGCACAGTAATTCTGCCAGTAATAAAATATCCTTGCAACAGTGTTAATTCTCTATTCATAAAACAGCTGCATCAAGTCACTCGTTTCACAAGCTTACCCTAAGATATAGACATAATCAATACTTGAGGCAACATCAAGCCGAGCAGCTTCTACTAGAGTGTGACATTCCGCCATGACACGCCGCTGTACAACCATGAAGACTGACCAAACCGAGAGGAGAGTGGCTTCGTTATCCTTATCGCTGTTGGCTTACCTCGCGCTCATTGTTCCTTCAGCAAATGCAGTCCATCATATGCAACTTCAGCCTCGACATCTAGTCAATCGCCAAAACAGCGACCTGCCGTTGGTAGTGACCAACAATTGTGATGGGACAATTTACCCAGCCATTCTGACTCAATCAGGCACTGGTCCAAAGAAGGCAGGATTTCGTCTCAATCCTGGTGACAGCTTGCCTCAGTCAGTGAGTGCCGATTGGATAGGTCGGGTATGGGGAAGAACGAACTGCACATTCACAGACGACGGACTGGTACCTCAATCTAGTCAAGGAGGATCACCATGCTCTTCCGGAGACTGTGGTGCATTTATGGAATGTCAAGGCGCCGTAAGTTGCACTACCGTAATCCACCAGTCTATCACTGATATGTACAGGGTAATCCGCCAGCAACACTTGCAGAATTCACAATGTCATCCAGCAGCAACCAGGCCTTCTATGACATCTCTCTCGTTGATGGCTATAACCTCCCAATGGGCATCATCTTTAAACCTGGCAACAACAGCAAGTTGATGGATATTCCACCTAATCTCACCAATTTAATCTGCATCGGTACAGCAACTTACCTACAACCATCAGGTGATGCTCCAGACACTGCCTTCGGCAGCAACTCCACCTATCCGATTCCGCTTGAGCAGTCCATAAGTACTCAAGCTGTACTTAAGTGGTGCCCCTGGCCTCTACAACTCAACCCACCTCAAAAACCAGGCGATGGAGTCTACCCATACCCGGATGACAATATTGCTCGTCCACCCTTCAACCCCTGCCTTAGCGCCTGCGCAAAGTGGAATCAGGACCAGTACTGCTGCTCAGGCAGTTATGCTTCGCCTACGAAGTGCAAGCCGAGCTACTACTCCTTACAGGCGAAGAAAGTATGTCCAGACAGTTATAGCTTTGCATTTGATGATCAGACAAGCACATTCGTTATCCCTGAAGGCGGCGGATTCGAAGTCGTATTCTGTCCGTCAGGGAGAAGCTCAAATATTTTGGCAACGTTTGGAAACCAGATTAGAGAGGTGGCGAGAACGGGTGTCGTTACACCAGAGATTGAAAACTTGGCGCAAAACAAGACATGTATTGCTCAGAAGAGTGACGCTATGCTCAATGAGCCGCAGGCGAGTCTGATTGCTTTGATTGTGGTTCTAGTCTGGGCTTGTTTTTGGTGAGCAAGCGGGATCAGCCCAACTTGTTCATTGTTTTTTGGTCAGCTGACTTATTTTGTACTCACGATACCCCTAGAAGCAGACTTATCAGCGTGTAGCGTTCAATGTCATTCGAATGTCCTTCAGTGCATCTTCCTAAAGCTGATTCCTCGACTATCATACCTCTTGACGATCAAAACTTTTTGCCGTATTTGCCGCCCCTGCTTGGCACAGTGCTGCTAAGGTGGTTTGCTGGAGCTACAGTACTACATCAAATGTTTGAATGTGAACCCGAAATCATACCAAAATCGTGCTTCTTCAGGGAATGTATTACGACCTTTTCTGGCCGGCACATTGAAGTAACCAACCAGAAGAAATGGCTGCCCCCCAGAAAAGGTCGTAATACATTCGCTGAAGAAGCACGATTTTGGTGTGATTTTGGGTTCACATTCAAAACTCTTGAGGGTTAAAACTATATGACGCTCTAAACTTGCAAACCTGACTAGCTAAAGGATTGATGCTCCCAACCATTCTACACCCTTTGCTTCAATACCGTTTGGGTATTAAAATCACGCTAGGTTCACATTTGGTGGAAACCGGTGATCTTGCTGGATATTCAACTGCTTCATACCAGGCATGAAAGTCATTCCGTACCTAGATGTACGGCCATGCGCGGTGAGCGGTACTACGATGAAACCTTAAAAATTGTTTTTCTCCAACTTCGCACCTACTGCTACATGCTCGCTCAATGCTCGTAAAAACAGCCTGTCCGCAGATTTTTAAAGGTTTGTTTCGTTCAATGACCGGCATCAGTGGACGATGTCAAGGAACCCTTCTACGTGGATTTAATGCGCCGGCTGACTTATCAAGCGTTGATCGCCGCCGGTGGAACGCTGTTATCATGTAGTGGAACTTGCGCTCCCAACCTTCGGAACAGGGTATACAACGCCGAAGTCCCTCCTTCATGTAACAGCAGTTTGCTTCCGAGATAGGACAGACTCTGTATCCAAACATGACATTCTGTGTGGGCCAGATGGAGACAGTAACGGCGGAATTGTTGATATCTGTTACGGACATGTCAGTGACGGAGAATCAGAACTTTGCTTATAAGCACCTCGCTCTTCAAATGCGATGTGCCACCTCCTCGTCGCGTACACCCCAGGCCACTTCCGTCTTGTTCCCTTACTCTCGAGATGGCAGCTGAACAGAATACAATAATGCCTGAGAAGGACGGCGTTAGCAAAGCGCCTTCTGTGCACTCAAGCACTTCCGTTGACCATGGCCATATCTCGAAGGAGCTAGATGGTCACAAGACTGGGGACATTGCTGAAGGGCTTTATAGAGAAATCAATGATTTCTCGCCAGAAGAGCTCGAAGACGAAATGCTCAAAGTCCGAAAGCTAATTGACTGGCGCATCATGCCTATAGTAAGTCTACTATCATGCTACTCCTATCCCACTCATCCTTCTAATCACCTCAGATCTGCATAACCTACACCATTCAATTCCTGGACAAGCTCTCACTCAACTACGCGTCCGCGTATTCCCTCCTCCCCGACCTCGGCCTCGACCAAGGCCAACGGTACAGCTGGGTGGCCGCAATTTTCAACTTCGGCTATCTCTTCTGGGCCATCCCGGCCAATCTCCTCATCCAACGCCTCCCCGTCGCAAAATACACCGGCAGCATGATCTTCATCTGGGCTATTCTCCTAATTTGCCACATTGCCGCGAAGAACTACGGTGGTATCCTCATACTGCGTTTCCTGCTCGGCATGTTCGAAGCTAGCATAAGTCCTGCGATTATGTCCATCTGCTCGATGTGGTATTCGCGGGCAGAACAACCATTGCGCATGTGCATATTTCTGTCGTTTAATGGTGTTGCGACGATGGTGGGTGCGTTACTGGGGTTTGGACTGGGTCACTCACATAGCACGAGTCTGAAGAGTTGGCAATTGATCTTCTTGACCATTGGCGTTATCAACGCGGCTTGGTCGATTGTGTTCCTGTGGCTTATGCCGGACTCACCCGCTAATGCGAAGTTCTTGACGCACCGACAGAGGGTTGTTGCTGTGCATCGGGTTGCGGGGAACATGATTGGTGTCAAGACGAAGCAGTACAAGGCGGCTCAGGTTGTGGAGGCGTTCACAGATATCAAGGTGCTCGGTGTTGCTCTGATTGGATTGGGATGCGGTGTGATCAACGGTGGCGTTTCGAACTTTGCTTCTGCTCTGATCAAAGGGTTTGGATTCTCAGGCATCAATGCGACATTGCTACAGCTACCACTCGGTGCATTCGAGCTCCTGCTGGTTCCTACATGTGGTCTGATCGCGACATACATCCCCAACAGCCGCTGCATCGTTCTTGCGGGCATTTGTTTGGTGCCGCTGGGTGGACTCCTGGGCATCCGCTTCACGGACCTCAGTCACCGTTGGACACTGGTCGGGTGTTCGTGGCTGCAATATGTCGTCGGAGCACCAGTCATTATTAGCTGGAACTTGCTCACCACTAATGTGGCGGGCCACACAAAACGGTCCTTTGCGAATGGACTGTGGTTCTGCTTTTATGCCGGTGGAAACGTTGCAGGTGCAAACATCTTCTTTGCGAGAGAGAAGCCCAGATACTTCTCTGCTATCACCGGGTTGAGTATCTGCTACGGCGGTATCATTGCAATAGCGGGTCTGCTGTTGATAGCGATGAGGTGGGAGAATGCGAGACGAGATGCGGAGTTCAAGAGAAGAGGGAGCGCAGAGGTGGTGTACGGGGTGGAGAGAGGTGGAGGTGCTACCGACCCGAGAGCTGTCGAAGACGGTTTCAATGACGTGACTGATAAGCAGGGCAAGTATTTCAGGTATGCATTGTAGACAACAAAGGCACACAGTGGTAGTTGAGCCTTGAGTATCACACGATAATCAGATGCCGGCAGCTTGCAAAAGCGGAGGGATTAAAATGTGTCAAGAGCCAAGTGGGAGTTCCAGCGGCACAAATCTTGCTTCAAAACCCATGGTGCGTGTCAAGCTGGGCCTCCGCATATCGCAAGGCTTTGCAGATAATATGCCACGTGGTCCAGGAAATGTTCAGGATACAGATTTGCAGAATTGTGGTTCTTGCGCATGCTCGCCCTTGTATTTATGCGATGTAGCAGAATGTCATATTTTGTATTCCTCTAGCT